AACTTTATATTATTTAAAATAAAAAATAAAAATTTTTTATAATTATATAAAAGATATTATTTATTAAAAAAATTAAATAAAAAATGGTTATAATAAAGAATTGAATTTTTTATTATTTTAAAGAAAATTAATAATTTTATGTATAAATTAAATTTTTTAAAATATTAAAAAATATATTAAATAATATTAATAACTTATTTCTTATTAATTTTTAAAAATATAAATTTATTTAATTAAAAAAACCCAAAATTAAGAAAGATATTTATAAATAAAAATATAAATAATTTATTTTTTTTTAAAATAAAATTATTATTAAAAAGAAAAATAAATAAAATCGATAAGAAATTAATTTTAAAATATTTAATAAAATAAAAAAAATATAATTTCAAAAATAATTAATAATATTTTTATAAATTATTTATATAAAATATAATAAAATTAATTAAAAATTTTAATAAAAAAAATTTGTAAAGAAAAATATAAATAAATATAAATAAATTAATTAAAATAAAATAAAAATATTTAAAAAAAAAGTAAATTAAAGATTAATATATATAATATTTAATATAAATTTATAAGTATAATTATTTATTAAACGTATTGTATTTTTTTAATAATTAATATAATAATTATAAAATAAGTTTTATAAAAAAAAATTTTTTATTTTTATATTTTTAACCGTATATAATTTTTATTTATTTTTTATTTAAATTTAATTATTTTTTATTTAAATTTAATTATTTTAATTATTAAGAATTATATGTATTTTTTAATTATTATTTTATTTTTAATTTTTAATTATTATTTTTTTTAATATATTTATTTTTTAATTATTATTTTTTTAATTTTAAAATTAAAATAATTATTTACGAAATATATTAAAAAAATAAAATTAAAAACTTTAAAACGTAAAGGTAAATATATAAAATTAATTATTTTAAGTTAAATAACGCAAAATTTATTAATAAAATTAAAATATTTATTTAATATTAAATTAATATTTTATTAAAATATAAATTAAAATTTTATTATAATTTTTAAAAATTTATTTAATATTTAATAAAAATAAAATTTAATTAATAATTTTTAAAAATAAAATTATATATTAATATTTATACGGCGTTATAAATTATTAAAATTTATTAAAAAAAAATAAATATAAATATAAATAATATAATAAATTTTAAATTATTTAAAAAAAAATATTAAAACTTTTAAAAATTTATAGTGTTAATAAATAAAAATTTAATATATTATTAATTTAAATTAAATATTTTTTAAAAATTATTACGTTTTTTTAATTAAAAAAGATAAAACTTTAAAATTTTTTAAAATTTTAAATAATTTATTATAAAATTATAACGTAAATATAATTCTTCTTTAAAAAAATAAAATAATAAAACGCGTAAAAAATTAAAAAAATAAAAATAAAAATAATAATAATAATATTATAAAAAGTTTTAATTATTAAAATTTTTTTATTAAAAAATAAAAATTTTATTTAAAACTTTTTTCTTAAATAATTAATATTTGCTAAATTATTAATATTTATTAAATCATTAATATTTATATTATTTAAAAAATAAATTTTTAAATAATTAATTTTTATTAATATTAAAATTTATTAAAATTTATAAATATAATTTAAAATATTAAAAAATATAAAAAAAAAATATAAAAATAAAATTAAAAATTTAAAAAAAATTATATAATTTAAAAAGATTTTAAAAAAAAGGGTAGTTAATTCGAAAAAACTTAATTAAATTTATAAATAATTTAATAAAATTAATAAAAACGTTAATAATTTTATATAAAATATAAAGAAAATTAATTAAATAAAAATTTATAATTTTAAAGATATTTATAAAATTTTCCCCGAAATAAATTAATTTTTTTTTTAAAATATATATTTTTAAAGATATAATAAAAGTTATTAAAAAAGATAAAAAAGAAGAAAAAATAAAAATAAGTAATTTATTAAATATTAATATATTAAATAAATAATAAAGAAAAATAAAAACGTTTTTAATTTTTTTTAAATAATAAAATTATACTAAATTTATATTAATATATATATATGATTAATTATTAATTAAATTTTAATTTTTTTAATTTATATAAATTTTTTAATAAATTATATTTATTAAAAAATTATTTTAATATAATAAATTTATAATTTAATTTTATAAAAAATTTATTAATATATATAAAATAATTTTTTTATTAATATTTATTAATTTATTTTAATTTATTATATAAAAATAGTTATATTTTTATAAAATAAATAGGTAAAATTTTAAAATTTATTTTATAATTTTAACTATTTAAATATTTAAATATTAAGATTTTTTTAAAATTTATTAAAGTTATATTTATAAAAATATTAAGGTTAAAAAGTATTAAAATTATAAAAGATAAAAGTTATTAAAAAAAATTTTAAAATAACTATTATAATTAAAATTTATATTTTTAATTGTATTTAAATTAATATTAATCCGGAAAACGTATACTTTAAATTATAATTTTATTAATTTTTTATGTAAATTATGGTATAAATTATATAAGATTTAAAGTAAAATTTGTAAAGTTATTAAAGGAAATGTTTAAAAAAAATGCGGAAAATAATTTAAAGTTACCGGGTACGTATCCCACATATTACACGGGTAATAATAAGTATATTATACGATTAATGTTATTTATTTAAAATTAATGTAATAATTTAAATTAAAGTAATATATTTTTAATAATTTAATTAAGTAAAAATTTTTATATAATAATTAAATTATTAATATAATAAATTATATTTTAATTTTATTTTTTTATATAATAAATATTAATTATTTTATAATAAATAATTAAAATTAATAATATAATAATAAATATATTTAATAAATAAACTTTTTTATTAATGTATAATATTAATTATTTAAAATGATAAATAATAAAAATAATGGTAATAAATGTAAATATTATTAATTTATAAATTAAATTTTAAATATTAAAATTTTATTATTAAATAAAAAATATATTATATTTATAATATATAATTACGCGTTTATAATGTATAATTAATTACGCGTAAATTTCGATAAACTTTTTATATATAATAAAACGTAAATATTATAAATTTATAAATTAAATTTTAAATATTTTAAATTAATAAAAACCGTAAAATAATTAAAAAAGTTTATATATAATAATTTAATTATTAAATAATAAATTTAAATTTTACGTAATAATTTAATATTAAAATAATATATTATTTTAATAATTTTTTAAAATTTTTATTTTTATTAAATTTTATTATATTATTAACGGAACGTGAAAAGATATTAATATTAATATAAATAACTAAAATATAAAAAAAGAAATTAAACGAAGAATAAAAAGAGTTAAAAATAAAAGATAAATATGTAAAAAGCCGAGAAAATATAAATAACCGAAACGGTTATACGTTAAACTCGCATCGTAAACGCGAAAAAAGTAAATCGTACTTTATAAAAAAAATGAAATAATTTATAACGATTTACAATAATTATTATAATAAAATATAATAAGATTATTCGAGCGGTTATAATAATAAAATAAAATAATTAAAATAAATATTAAAAAAAAAAGTAATAAAAAAAAACCGAAATAAAACGGTTAAATTTACTTTATTAAAATTCATTTATTATTTAATTCATTAAAATAATAAAACTTTAAAAAAATATAAAAGAAAATAAAATAAACGTATAATAAAGTAAAAAAATAATTAAAATAAATATAATTTTTTTTAACATATATATAATTTTTACTTAAATATTTATTAAATAATAAAATTAATAATGTTTAATATAAAAAATAACATTTATAAACGAATTAATATAAAATAAATAAATAAATAAATAAATAAATAAATAAATAAATAAATAATATTAATTTATATTTAACTTTATAATTAAATATTAATTAATATTAAATTAATAAAAATTACATAATATAATATATTATAATAAAAATATATAATAAAATAATTAATAATATTATATTAATTTAATTTATTATTATTTTTATTTTATAAAAATAAATTATTTAATTAATTATAAATTAAAACATAATTTTAACTTTAACGCACGTGTTATATAAACACGTAATTATTATTTTAATAATTATAAAATAATTTTCACGTTTAAAATTATAATATAATAACGTAATATTATATAAATATATAAAAAGTTTAAATAAATAAATATAATATATTATTAATTTTAAATCATTTAAATTAAAGTTATTTTATACGTTATTATATTATATTAAATTTTTATAAATATAATATTTAAATTTTATTATTAAAATTTTATTATAACGTAAATTTAAATTTAAATTAATTTTAAATTATAATTTATTAAAAAGTTTATTTATAATTTATAAATATAAATATATAAATTATATATTATATAACGTTAAAAACGTAAATAAACGTAATTTCGCGTTTTAATAAATTATAATTTAACGTATATTAAAATAAAAAAAAATATAAAAATTATAAAAAAAAAATAAAAACTATTAAAAAAAACTTTAAAATAATTATTATAATTAAAATTTATATTTTTAATTATATTTAAATTAATATTAATTTAAATTACGTGTATTTTAAATTATAATTTTTATTATTTTTTTATTTAAATTACGATATAAATTATATAAAATTTAATTTAAAATTCGTAAAATTATTAAAATAAACGTTAAAAAAAACATAAAAAACGATTTAAAATTACTTAATACGTATTTTCGTATATTATATAAATAATAATAAATATATTATATAATTAATGTTATTTTAAAATAAAACATTATAATTAATTTAATATTATATAATAATATTTTAATAATTTATATTTTATATTTTATTTAAAAAAATAATTTTATAAACGAAAAAGTTTTAAAATTTAACTTAAAATCGCTTAAAATAATCGTAACCCGTTTTATTTTAAAACTTAAAATAAAACAACGTTTAAAATGCGGTGGTCGAGTTTATAAAGTCAACTTAAATAATAACTTACAATGTCGGATAATTTTAAAGCTTTTTAACCTAAAGTATTATATCATTACACGAACAAAAACAAAGCAGGTTATGATGGCATCATGTCGTCGAAAAGCATCTTTCCATCTACCGCTGAAGGCATGAAACACACACATTATGGCAAAGGTGTATATTTTACCACAATCTGGCCCTCCGAGATTGGATTATCTGGTGACGGGGGATACGAGTCTACTCGTCGTATATTTAACGACGTAACCGCCCACTCTATAGAGCGGATGCAGTACTATATCGGAGTCAGCATAGATGAGAGTTGGGAGCTTTTAATAGCTCGTGACCCAACAAACTTTTTCGAAATCCACGATATCTGGGTCGTGGAAGATATGGGCGCTCCGTTAAATATTCAAGCGCAAATTATCGAGCATGGAACAACTGTGATACATGGGGCAGTTGCACAGTTAGAAGATCAAACTACGGCGACTCGAGACTACGCCTACCGATTGAACAGGCAGCAGAATGTACCTGTCCAACAGGAGCAACTTTGGAAACGGCCAAAGCCTAGTGAATATATCTTCGTGGGAGGACACACGGTTAGGAGACCCCATGGGAATGAGGATGACTTTCTACACCTAGAAGGGTACACTCCGAACTAGAGATTCAATATGGCTTCTAGAGTGAAGTACATAACTAGAGTCACGATCGATTACGGATTTCAATTTAGTAGCTATAATTTCCATAACGTAATTTCCAAGATATGCTTATAGATGGGGACTTCCGTATCAACGTCGGTCATATCCCCTCAATTTGTCGGCCGCTTCCGTCAATACGTACTTTTTTCCTTTTTACCTATGTTTTAAAGGCATCGTTCCTTACCTTCGTCAACTTCATCAACAATCCAATCTTATCAAAATTCAGTATTCAATTTGCAATATTTACTAACTCCGTAAAAGCCATCAGAATGACGCATATCACTATACAACCGCTTCATTTCACAGAAAACCACGGTGTAAACTTTGGTGCTATTGTTCATAATGCGAACCTTGATAATCTCACTGGTAAGGATTGTGAAATGCTTCTCGTGAAAGAGGCCCTCTGCGAAGCGGGAGAATACCCGTAAAATCGGTAACCTCCTTTGGTAAGGTATCAATATTTATAATTCAAGGTGGTGAGCAGTAGCTAATGACGGCTTTAGATGCGGACTTTGAGATTATTCGCAACGCCCTCTTCACCCACCAGCTTCTGGTTTTCAAAAATCAGAGTCATGTCTCGTCCAAGTCTCAATTCGAACTAACGCGACGGTTTGATCCCGCTGCAACTTCGTACGGACACGGGAAAACAATCGATGCCAAGCGTAGCATCTTGCATCCGGATCTCAAAACGATTCCCCATCAACCTCAGGTGCAAGTTATCGGGAATGGGTTCGTGTCCGAATATGAAGGTCTGAGGGACATTCGGCTTAAGCATCCACATCATAAAACGTTCCATGCAAGTGCCATTTCGGCTGTAGATGATCTCAATTTCACACGTTTCTACCGGTGGCACATCGATGCTGCTCTGTACGGTCTTGCACCACCCGTGGTGACCACATTGCTCGCGGTTAAAGTTCCTGGAGGCCGCCGCCAGGTTTGCCGCTATGACGATGGGACTGGCGACGAGTTGGAAGTTCCTTTAGGCACCACGGCGTTTGTTTCGGGCTATACTATGTACGATCTACTTTCTGATGCTGATAAGGAGTTTGCCCGTACGTCTTTTGTTGAGTATGCGCCACATCCTTATGTGTGGATTAGCAACGCAAAATCTCGTTCTGATGGGCTGGGGATGGTTACGCAGGGGCTCGAAATACCCCTGGACGATTTACCACCTATTGAGCAACACAAGATCCAAATCCTACCTATGTGCTGGCGTAACCCAGTAACAGGAAAGCTTGCTCTTCAGGTACACCCGTCGGCGGTTCGGAAAATCCACCCAGCAAACGGGACTGTTATCGATGACCTCGGCAAAGTCCGCGAAATCATACATCGGCTCCAACGTCCTGCTATCGCACCAAAATTCGTTTATGCTCACGATTGGGAAGAGGGCGATTTTGTGTTATTCCATAATCGTGGGCTGCTTCATTCAGTAGTGGGAGCATTTGCAGATGACGAAGTCAGACTGTTTAGGCAGTGCAATGTTGCAGCTAGTCATTTTCCTGAGGGTCCCATGCTTGGGGCCTAATATGTGCTTTAGCATATGCTGCCTTCTCCGACGTTTAACTTATGGAAGGCTTCTATTCTAGTAGTGGTTAGGTTAATCGGTTTATAAATGATATTCTAAGAACTAATATGAAAGTCACGTATGCAGTTCTCACTACTTTACTCCGCCTAGACTGGACTGCCGGAACCCTCTGTGATGACCCCCTTTCCCCGTTTAGGTACCTTGGTCGTTTGCTAGCCTAATCAACTGTCAAGAGTTGCTCGTAGAAAGCCGCGACTTTGTTTTCGTTGTCGCGAAGGTGTATCTCAAGAATCCAATGCCGCTTATTTCCATCTTTGCCGGGGTTGCTCATTTTTTGATCGTTCCCCTTGGTAATATAAAGAGATATCTTGTCCCGGGGAATACGCTCGTGTGGGAAGAGCCCGACTAGGTGCCCGGCAAGTGTGGCGCCGAATTCCCACCCAGCGTTTCGAGCTTCTTCGCAGGCAATGTCATATAATTGCTCACCCGACATATCTGGATTCGCCTGGTACCGAGATTTCACTATGTTCCAGACTGGGGCGAGAGAGTCGCGTAGACGTTTCTTATTGGGGTCATCGCCAAGCACAAAGGTACGTGCGAAGTCGGCCTCCCAGGCCTCGAATACTGGCCCTAGGTCGACATATAGGATGTCATCTTCTCCAATGATACGATCGGGTGGGTTCTCCTCGAATGGCAGTAAAGTATTAGGTCCGCTTCTGACAACTCTTTTGTGCCAGTGAGTTTTAACACCATGACGTTCTGTCCCAAGCTTATGAATCTCATCGCTCAGCGTCTTCTCGCTGATACCGGGTCGGATAAGCTTCTCCTCTATCTCCGCAAAAAGTTGGACAGCTTTGTTCTGGGCATCCAGGAGGTAAGCTGCTCGCTGACCTTCCGTCACATTCATGATGTTAGTTGTCATACAAAGTCGTGTTTTAAGGTTATAGTACAAAAACATGATTACTCGAGTAGAAACATTGAATGTAAGAATGCTGCAATTGGATAGGTACCTACTGAGGGGTAAATTACCCTTTATACGCCTCTGTTGAGGGCCCGTGCCGGAATCCTTCTGTACCAATGTCACATTATTGTTGTAATAGAAGTTGTATTGGGTAAGTTACTAAGAGGGAGGATCTAGCTTAATATTCATGTGATACATGACAACCAATCAGGCTCTATATGCTGTTGGGGTATTGGACATCGACGAAACTAGGTAACTTACAAAACGACCAGAATAAAAGCATCGGGGCCGCTATGTCCGTCTATGTCGAGTAGTCTATGAAGATAATCTATATCTAGGTGTCTTACCGCCCCTCTATGCTCCCTATGGCGTTTTGAGGGGCTATCACTCTTCTAAGAAGCCCGGGAATAGGTACTGGACCTTCCTTAAGGCCTCAGGGTTCCGGCCCTCGGGTTTGGTGCAAAACATTACAGCACCCTTGCTGGTACCCTCCCAGTGCTTGGCGGTAACTAAGTCGCTATTCTCGTGTTTGCACAGTTCGTCTAGCACGGCACCAACCAGCCGCCGCGCATTTTTGCTGTTGGTGTTCATATAGTGCATAACCATGGATACGTCGACGTCTTCGGTCGTGTGCCAGCAATCGTAGTCGGTAGCCATGCAGATGACCTGGAGCGCCATCTCTGCCTCTCTCGCCAGCTTAGCTTCAGGTAGCAGCGACATGCTAATCACCGAACCCCCCCAGGAGCGGTATAAATTCGATTCGGCGCGTGTAGAGAACTGCGGACCCTCTAATGACCGAGCATGGTTAGCAAAGCATACTCCATAACAGACAGTTAACTTCGACACCTACCCATACAGATAGCAGTTCCACTGCCGTGCAATACCACGCCATCACCCTGCATAGACTTTGCGCATTGACGTACGATCTGAGCAAGCTTGTCGTCGTAGGGATCGCCAAAGGGGACGTGGCCGACGAGCCCACCCTCAAAGAAGGTAGAAGGACGAACACCCTTGGTGCGGTCGATAACCTGGTCCGGCACAACGAAGTCCATAGGCTTGATCTCCTCGCGCAGGGAACCTACAGCAGAGAAGGCAACAACGCTGCGCACACCAATATGTCGCAGAGCTGCGATGTTCGCTCTGGCGGGAATCTCATGAGGCGCATATTGGTGGTGAACACCATGACGGGCTAGAAAGGCAACGGGCACGCCGCTATGTTCGAGAATTAGGATGGGCGCGGATGGATATCCCCAAGGCGTTAATGGGTTAACACGGGCGATGGGAGTGTAACCGTCAATCTTATAGAGTCCCGTCCCGCCTATGACGGCAATATGGACCGGTCCTATATGCATAAACCTCCGTATTAGCTAGTAACTCAAACGAGACTGTCTACTAAAAAGAGGACGATAAAGATGAGGGCGGGGCAAATCGGGGTATTCTCACGGTCGAAAAATTCAGGGAGATCAGCCATTGTCTCGCTACTGTTTTCAGCGGTGGAGTATTGATTATTATTCTTATTTTCGTCCCTTACAAGCCGCTTCTAAATACCTTCAAGTCAATTGTTCTTTTTTTTTCCTTGTTTTCTTTTTCTTGGTTTTTTTTTTTCTTGTTTAGGAGGTATGCATAATAGGCCTTGTTGCTACTGTCTCGGTTGTATTGCGATATATAAAATTTACGATAAGAGGATGCCCCTCCCCCTCTTTGTGGAGAATGTTGATACCTGCACATGTACCTTAGGTATACATGCAGCACATGTAGCACATGTAGCTACCACGTGCTCTGATAGTAGGTAATAATAGATCCACAGGCGGATGTTACAAACTAAACTGCATACGGGCACACCATCTGCATTCTACTATGTAGTAATTTCGTTATAATATCAACTGCGTACCTCCTATATGTAGTTAATGATTATAAAACTGATAGTTAATTAAGTGTCATATTCTGATTTAAAAATAAGAAACTTAATGATGGTTCTCGAGGAGAATGGATATGGCGTATTATGAAGAAAAAAAATACCTAATATGTGGTGATACCTACATCTCGTGTCATACATGTAAAATCAACATGTTCGAGCCGTAAGGTGTACTGGCCTGCCTCCTCGGTCAACTGGGATGAATTGCCGGTGCAAGATAATGGTCACTATGCCGGCTAATGAGCCCGACTAATAATATTGTACGTGTGCCCGCGCCCATCCTGTATCGATTCCATTTGGGGAAATTGTCGGTTAAGTGATGACATCTCAGTCTCAGGTCCATAATATACCTACCAGCCGTCATTGTGCTATGCTCTATGGCCGGAAGAAGTGACGAGAGGGGTGTTGGGATGGCCACGAGCTATCAGTAGTAATAGCTTCCCACGGCGGCCGTTGACTTTTCACTTCTTCGGTTACTCAGACATAGCTGCTCTCTTCTTAGGCCCGCGTGAGCTTTGTTAAGTTTACCTTTATCCCAATGTATTTCAACGCGTTACTAAGAGTGTGTTTTGTATTGGTATTCTTGCAGCTCGGATCTGCTCAGACGATTGTTGTGGACGGTCAAGTCATCAGTCAGTCAAATTGCGACTCTATTACATCTAAATATTTATGAGGGCCTTTTTCTAGTAGACTAACTTAAAACCTACCTGCTTCAAGATGCCGACGAGTCCACCGTTTCTCCCGCTTTCGTGCCCGTGGATGCTTCATCCTCTAATGCGACGGCCGACCTCTTTCCAGGGGAAACCCATCAGCTTACCGACGCCGTCCTAACAAACCTCACTAACCTTGGATTAACCAACATAGTTCTCTTCGGGTTTGCTGATCCTGCGACCGCCCCTAACCAATCTATTATAGGACCCTGTAAAACCTTCCCGGGCGAATTTGTCGTTTTCCCTGGCCGTATTACTAACCGGGTATTCGACCTTCTTCTCGGCGGCAGCCTTATTCAAACCAAACCGTTCGCTTCACCATGCTATAGCGACTACGGGAATCAAGATGCGGCAAAATGTGCTGAGATTACGTCTCACTGGTCAGACAACTCTTATATTCAGTAAGTGAATTCGCTCACCCCCTCCCTGGGGCCATGCTCTGGGGCCTGAGCTAAATGGGTTAAGCACGAACGATCCAACTTCTATCAACGCAATCCTATTTGAAGGGACGTCATGTGTACCGCATACAATAAACCCATTTGCGCTGAACTGTACTATTGGCGCATACCCGACGATGTCTGTCAATGTAACCACTGTCGCCCAAATCCAACTGGCTATCAACTTGGCGCGAAGCCTCAACTTGCGACTCGTCATTAAAAATACTGGGCATGACTATAGCGCAAAGAGTACGGGTGCCGGTGCTCTTTCTCTATGGACTCATAATATGAAAGACATCCAATACTACGAGACCTACGAAGAAGGGTCGTATAGAGGACCAGCTTTCAAGATAGCAGCTGGTGTCCAAGTATTTGAGGCATACGAGGTCGCGCATAAGTACAACCTTACGATTGTCGGCGCAGAGGGGAAGGTGAGGCGTCTACTGACTCGGCAGGTCCGGAGAGAGAGTTAACGATAACATCTACAGACGGTCGGGCTTACAGGAGGTTATATTCTAGGTGGAGGCCACTCCCCTTTATCAAGTCTATATGGAATGGCCGCAGACCAGGTTGGTTTATTTTCACGGGCATTGTAACCGCGTGGGCTAAAATCATGACAGGTCCTCTCCATGGAAATAGTCACAGCCGACGGTCGCTTTGTCACAGCTAGTGAAACGTCAAATCCTGATCTCTTTTGGGCTCTTCGAGGTGGAGGTGGATCGACTTATGGGGTTGTTACATCCATGGTGATTAAGGCGTTTCCTGAGATTCCAGTCTCAACGATGACATTTAGTCTATCTACAGGGGACAACGTATCTATGGATCAGTTCTGGCAAGCCTTTCGCGCTTACTTTGAGGGGTTTGCTAACTACACCGATGCTGGGAACTACGCTCATTTTGACCTCAATGCCACGAGTGGAAACTACGTCTGGAATATGGCACCTTGGTTCGCTCCAAACATGTCTAAATCAGAATTGGAGGTCCTTGCCGACCCCTTCTTTAAGGCTGTTGGTGGCATTGGGATTGACCTAAAACCAGTTTACCAAGAATATGCAAACTTCTATGACGCATGGAATAATAGCTTCCCTCTCGAACTTTGGGGGTCAAATCTTGCTAGATACGGTAGCCGGCTCTTCCCACGGGAAAACTGGAAGGATTCGACGAAACTGTCATCTACTTTTGAGGCTATTCGTCACGTTGTAGATAATGGTGGCGTGGTATCGGCTTACAACGTTGCCGCTGCCCCGAAGTCCGGGTACCCTGATAAGTATGTGAATCGATTATTCCCCTTGCTCTCCTTTCGACTTGTCTTGAGGATCACCGTCTCCTTCTTGGGCTAACTGGAGAGACATTTCTCTCGGGACTTACTTAAAGCATCTAAATTCCCGATTGAAGCATGCAGTTATTGACCTTGCTATAGTGCTGTTAACCCGGCCTGGCGCGAGACTGTGTTACACGCTATCGACATTGTGGCATGGACTCAGGATATGTATACGGAACTCATTACGATATGGAGTAACGTTTTGACGTCTGACTGGGGATCGCTATGGCGCTCGGTCTCGCCCGGTTCGGGAGCTTACCTTTCCGAATCAGATTACATCGAACCCGACTTCCAGCAGTCATTCTGGGGTAACAAATACGATCGGTTATATGAGCTCAAGAAGAAGCTGGATCCTTGGGATGTGTTTTATGCTCAGAACGCGGTAGGTTCAGAGGATTGGGAGATGTCCGATTGGATTTTTGGGAATTTGCCGTCCCAGAACAGTCGATTGTGCCGAAGGGGAACGAATCCCTCTCAGCAAGGGGCGATGAGGTTGATTCATGGATAGTTCGTGTAAGGGTGTTAAACCTAGAAATTTATTGTTTTGTCGCGAGGCCGATATACGTGTTGATTTTAATGAAATGAACGCAATATTAATTTGGCATAGGTACATCAGGACATACATCAGGACATACATAATAGCCGTCTGGTTTGAAGTGAAGCTTTTAAGAAACATACCGGTGTATCGAATAAGCAGGTCGACACCTGATATATAATTCATTTAAACAAAATCTATGTACCTATAGAGTCTCAGCCCCACCTGATGCCACCCGCAAACCCATTCAAACCTCTTTTCATCCCAAATCATTAACTATTGCATTTTCACACTTAACGTCTTAGTCATTATGTGTCTCTTTTTAGGATTTCAGCCGTCACGACTCACCACTTCCTAGGCATCTATGGAGGGTCACTATATACGTTGTATTTTTTGACCTACACCTCCAGGTAGCGCGTCATCGTCTAACATTCCAAGAGCGCCGTAATTTTATTGGGGCTGTGGACATATTGTCATGGCATCTTCTCCTTCTAGACTCATTAACCAGTTAGACCTCGATACTGCTAAGATGTGGAAAGATGACTCCATCGAGGAGCGCATCTTCTCGGCTGCCTTAATATGTCTAGAGGGCCATTACAACCAGTCCCCTGCAATGGGACCCCAATCCATCGCCAAGGTAACCAGTATTGTCTCTAAAACCTTGGAGAAGACGCATACCTTCAAGGACGTTAGGTAAGTGTCTCGAGGAAGCATAATTGGAGAAGAAAACCCAAAGAAAAAAAGAAAAGCTTTAAATGTGTTACTAATACTCTAGTCGTAGGGAGGTCCTATCGAGAAACGTGCGGGTATGGATATGGCTACGTCGAGCTGTATCCGCCGCAATATGTGATCTCAATGAGAAGTCTCTTGGTGTACGATCCGAACCTTTTGTTCAAACTAAGTTCCTCGACATCACTACTCCAGAGGTTACCGCTTTGATTATCAAGAACTACGTGCCCCTAAAGGAGGCGTTGCAGATGCTCAACAAGCTCATGCACATTGCTCGAAATCTACTTGTCACTACTGACCCAGAGGTCCCTCAGGACTTGTCTGCAGCTATCCAGTTCGACCATGAAGTATATGAATCCATATGTCTTTGTGTCAACGTGACCAGCAAGGGAATTGATGGGGAAATGCCGGAAGACGAAGCGTCCAGGGCTAAGTTGAATGAGATTACCGAACTCTGTACGTGGAGCCCCTTACCAGTAGGTATACGCATAATTAACCATTAGTAGGCAAAAAGGTCCTTGTGACGTCCCTACAGCAAGCTCATAATTGGATTGCCAAGAATGATCGCAATAAGATGTTATTTTGGTACAAAGTATTAATTGAATCTCCCGACGCCGAGAGCAACCCAGGCCCAGAGGACCGTCATGAATCAGTGCTAGACTATCCAGCTCCCAGGAGTATTCATCTGCGAGATGAAATTTCAAACTGGCTAAAAAGATCGTCGCGAATGTGTGATGCTGCGATTAGCATTTGCAAGGAATATTTCGATGCTCAGAGCGCCGAAAAGAAGGATCAATGGTTACCCCATGATGAGAATCTCCTAGCCTGGAACTACACCCCGCCTGAAACTTGGGCCTGGCAACCGGATATGTATGACGAGGCTGCTGAATTGATTTCAACGTGGAACCCCGAAGAAACCGATAAGTTTGAGCAGGATAGAGCATATGGTCGCGTATCGCACGAACTTGACAAGTGGTGGTACGGTGCACGTGTCCCCAACTCGAACGACTGGAGCCTGACAATGTACTCAACCGTTGACTCTGTTCCTCAGCGCATTAAGGAATGCGAGTCCAACCTCATGCAACGCTACGCAGCTGCTGAGCCTCAGGAGGAACCAAATGATACGATTGAGCATCATGTGGAGGAGGAACACAATGCTGAATGGCAAGGTCAGACGTCCCAGTCGGGCCAGGCCTTCGCCCCCGAGTACGACGAATACGAGGAAGAAGCCGACGACGACGATTCATACGGTGAGGGGCCAATGACTGGGCTTCTGACCGAAGTGCCAAATATCCTTGACCCTAAACAAATAGAAGCGCTTCACATGATCGTCAAATCTTGCATATTAGATTCAGCTGGTTCTGGGTTGACTATATTCCGCGAGAACTTGCAACAAACCCGTTGCCGTATCTTTCTTGCCACTGACTGCGGGAGGAACCTCCTGAGAGAAATGCTCGTCTTTATTGCTGTGTGGGAAAAGGATGAACAATCCTTAATATTTCAGATTAGCAGTCAGATAGTGCAGGCGATACATGAGAACTCGCTTATCCCCTACGCATGGATGGCACTTCGAAGCCCTAAGGATATAATCTCGCCAGCGCAAACAGTCCTACTTCGGCTCATTACCTATCTATTTCGTACAGCTTTGTTTCCTCCTAAGGATTATGATCCCTTCCCTGATACAAAAGCAGAAGATGTCGAAAAAATCCTCGCAAACGAAGACGTTCGTCTCGGAAAGATGCTTAACTATCTATATGGTCTCTTCCGCAGCCGTATCGTACCAGAATGCGTCGCCTTGATGCAGATTCAGGGTGAGGTCCGTAAAGGTCGATTAGATCCCGCAGACTTCCCAGTTGATAACTGGGATCTGGAGCGGGCTAAAGACGGCCTGGTACAGTACCTTGATTTTCTTTACACGGTTGCAGATATCCATCCTCTTCGTCAACATCTCATCGATTATGAGGCTGTCTATGAGCTCCTTAAGTTGCTTGAGGGCCTTGATATCGGGGTGGAGAAAGCACCATTCCCAGGCACTCGACGAAACGAGCCTCCTACAACACCCTCTACTACCACGTCGACACTCCAGGCGTCATCATCTAATAATCCGCCACCTCCTCCGCCTCCACCACCACCGATATCCGATCCGCCCCACGAGTTCCCCTGGTCTGGCATCAAAGGCCAAGTTCTATCTATACTTGCGGCTCTCTTACAGCCGCCGCCTGGTCAATCCTCGCCTGGCAATCCGACAGTGCAGCTCCAAATTTTACGTCATAACGGCATAGTTGCCTTGCTCAACTGCTGCTTGTACGACGACAACAACCGCTTCTGCCGCGAGCGCACGCAGCTCTGCCTCAAGTGGCTTATGGACGGCTGCCCGGATGCCTCGGCATTCCTTCAGAACCTCGTCAGTGCCAACCAAGGACAGCCAGTGGCGCGTCCACCCGCGGGAAGCAACTTAACGCAGAGCGTTAGGATAGATGGCGTCCCCGGCGAGGTTAGGGTCCAGGTGCGCAGTTCGAGCGCGCCCGCCGGAGAAGTCGGCGAGGTAGTAGGGGCTGGTGCAAATTTAAGGAGCAGGCTGGAGGAAAATAAGAGTCGTAGCGAGGAGCTTGTTAATGACCTCTTAGCGCTGACTGTTGTTGACGAGACTGGTAAGATGACTATTGCCCCCGATGGGGATGAGACGGAGGATGATGACTTCATGTAATTGGACTGAAAAGGGGTAAATATTTTCAAGCATTAGGATCATAACGGCGGTATATGCGGATGGTGTTATCATGAAAATCGCGGTTATTCTACGAGTTGCATCGGACGGGGAGTAAAATCTTTGATCGGTATTTGTAGTCGAAAGAGGGATACTAGGAATGTCGGTACGTGCTCACTCGGCTTGCTAGCTTGAGGGGAAGTATTTTGTAAGAGCTGTATTGTATAGCTCACCTATTGCACATTGCATTTTGACATTTAGTGAGAGAAGCTTAAGTGCTTTTCTTTTTAGCTACCAAGTGAGCTATGCGCTTCATCGCCTTTCAAAGCTATAATTTGCAAAATTAATAGGATATCAAGTATGTTTCTTCCCAGTTTCCATCTGGCCGAGTGCTTCATTCATCCCGGCAGCTCAATTGGCAAGCAACCCCACCTGCTCTCCCATAGACGACTGTCTTGCACTTATTATATAGAACCTGGCTATATCACAGCTCTGTGAATTAGAGCACTTACACGATATTAACCATCTGCTTGAGCAAGTCGACGTCCCGTACGGCCAGGCCTAAGAGTAGTTCGTTCGTGAGGGTCTGTAAGACGTTGATACCTTCTGAGTTGAGCTTCATGTTAATGAACTTTTCTATGCCGACTTTATTCTGGGTATATAACATTTCCTCGATTCTTGAAAACTGAAAGGCTAGGTTCTCACTGCAGCATTCCCCCACCTTCTCGTCATCAGTAGTAACGATGGCCCCACAGTGTAGATTGTCTGAATGGCTATCGCCAGCAAGTTTTCCTGATTCTGCCTGGATCCCACTTGGTACGGGGCTGGAGGATATGCCACATTGAGTAGCCACACTAGTATATTGATTACATGCCGTATTTAAATCTCGATTGTTAACAGCTAATCCTCGGGACGATACACGAGAAACCCCAAGGGTATCGACGTTAGTGGAAATATCAGTCGTCTTAAAGTACCTTGCGCTTTGTACATCACCTAAGGTTCTGACGCTTCGAGAACCTTCAAATAGGTCGGATTCGTTGATAATATCGTATGGATTAGGCTTAGGAGCAACTGCTGCCTTGAGTTTCGCCAGTTCATTTGACACTAGCTTGGGGCCAGTATCATCTACTGTAGTGGTTAGACATTGTGCCATTGTCATTTTGGCGTTGGATTCTTCGAGGGGTTGGTTGACTTTCTCCATGATGGTATTGCTGTTTGTGGAATTAGTTTTAGGAGCCTGAGCTGGTTGTGTGTCAAAGGTGTTCGCTAAAGACACTTTCTTGGACACCTTAAGGGTGCCGGCTGTCTGAGATTGGTTTCGAATCACATTGAATTTAATCCTCTTCGAGGGATTGGATTTTTCGTCAACATGGCTAGCCGCTCTCTTCCGACCTTCTACCAACTCTATTGTGCGTTGCTCAGATGGGACAGCGGCTGGACTTAGTTCTTGCTGGCTACCTTCCGCCGTGTTAATGCTCGCGGGTCGTGGTTTTCGGGAACCACGGTTGGCAATAGGGCGTGTAATTCCGAGTGCTCCTTCTAAGAGCTCTGTATCCTCTGGGGTGGCGTGTAGGGGGAGGAGATCATTTTCGGGATTCTGAGCTACCCCATGTTGTGGGAATAGGATAGTATGAGAAGGGGCTGACTTGTCAACGCTGTCTAAGTCCAAAGATGTGGCTGGTCTAGGCGGATGAGGAGTGAAGGTACTGTTGCTATCACTACGGGTACGGTGATTTAGATAGGCAGGGACTGAATAAGGCCGGGTTGACGATAGCTGTAATGATGGGATGGGCATTTGCTGTGATTCGACCCTATTCATAGTGGCCCTCTGCATTCGTAAGGGTATGGCTCGAGGACCTCCTGGCATAGGGCGGTATTCCTGTGGCCACATTGGCTGAGGAAGATAACCATAAGCTGCAGGAAGAGGAAGGGGATTTCGAGGGTATCCGAAATGGGGCCTATATGAATTAGAAGAAGGGATAGGTAGATCTTGAGTAGGCGTCGAGAGCCTGCGGTGACCTGGTTGCTGCATTGTAAACAGTTGGTTATCTACTTTGGCTCCTGGAGACTAGATTGTATGTAGCTAGGATGTAATTATATCTGGTAAATCGTGATATAACGGTGATACAACTTGGTGATTCGACTAATAGGTATCTATTAATGAGTATGTAGTTATACTATCAGTATAGTTACTATGAGTATACTACGAGTATATTAGGTACTGTAGAAATTGATGCAACAACGTCAATGTTTAATGCAGGTATTAATTAATACATTACCTATGTACCTAGGTAGGTATACATTCTTGTATGGTATCGACGAGCAACCTAATATGCGGGAAAGAGCACTAGTATAGGTATTACACCTTCCCTGAGGCTATTCACTGTGTCACTACAACCAACGAAGGAACGATAAAAGGTACGTATTACATATGTACATGTCCCCGGGCGTTAGCGCAGTGCACTGACCAACGCGCATTTTTTTTGGAGCAACACGACTCGGCCCCATCCAAACTATCAATCTTTCATTTTCGCGGTCGCGATTCCTACGTACTGTATGCAATTCCTTAGCTTTGCGACTTAACTTCCTGCGCATCGCCAACCAAAATCACTATAATCTCAACTTGTTAGTTCGCCGAACCGCCAACGTACATCCGGACATTCTTCCCTTTTAACCGTCATCCGCTTAACGCGCAATCGCAACAACTTAGCTTGAATTAAGCAGATAGATAAAAGTCTGTGATCGATGCTCTAATTAGGTTAGGAATTACTCTCCATCTTTTGCGACTCCTTGGAATCCTCCTCATGAGAATTACTACTGCCCATTGCGACGGCTGCGACCTGTGTTAGCTCAAGATGGCCCCGAACCGTGGCCCTGGGGGCAAGGATATTTACATCCACGAAATCGATCGCACTCCGGAATATGTAGAGTTCATCCAGAAGCTCACGGCTTTCCATGAGAAACGTGGCACCTCGTTCGAACCTGAACCCCGACTCCCTACCATGCACGGCCATGTCAACGTCGACCTACTGAAGCTATATAAGGCCGTCATCTCTAAGGGAGGCTACGACGAACTCAACAAGGTTCAGAAGTCTTGGGGTGGGCTTGCTGCCGAATTAGGCATGCATCATACAGATAGCAAGGGTATTGGTCAACTCTCTTTTCAACTGAAACAGGACTTCTATCGTTACCTTGCTGCATACTGGATTCATGACCAACACGGTAGGGAACCACCACCCAAGGAGATTTTAGAACAACAATCGTGTGCCAGCAAGTTTGGTCCTGTCCTAACTCGTACTGTCGAGAATTTCAAGCACTCCTTAAGCCGCCCTAGCATGGAGACTCCCAGTCGCGAAGAGCGCCAGAGCGAAGGCACTCCAGTTTCGGGGAATAGGGCTTCTGGTCGCCTACGTGAAGCTCCTCCTCAGCGAGTTCCCTTTCAACCCGAGACAGGACCGACCCGCCAGTCTAGACAAGCATCCTCACACCATGGCACACCAATAGCCACCAATGCTGGTGCCATTAATACTGGCCATGGTTCTAATCTACCTCATGTCCAGCACCCCAATCACCATCTCCCCCAGCACCACAATCCTAACAACCCTCTTCACGTAATACAGGCTCAGCAGGCCGCCGTTCGTGGTGCCTCGAGTGCGTTTACCCCTACGAATCCCGAGACTGCCTCACGCCTGGTAGAGATGTTCGAGCCGCGTCCTCCGATATCTGTTCCTCTTCGTCCCGTGAGCACCCCGGGGAACAATCTAGAGTTTGCCAAGCGACAGCGTCAGCTGCGGGCGGCTGCTGGTGCCCCCGATACTCAACTACCTGTTCGTCCAGCTATCCCAGGTATCGGTTTCGAGGGCCCCAACATCTACATGCGCTGCCTTCAAGCCCTTCGTTCAGGCATCCCTACTGAACAATCGTTCGCACTTAACCACCTCGTCAAGATATCATTCGAACGCGGTGATAAATACAAATTCGAGTCATTTCTTGGCTTGGCCGAAGGTCTTATCGAGAAGGCCCTCGAAGTCGGTAGTTTATTTTACCATATTGAATGGCAGATTACCTACTTCAACGACCCAGATAATTCGGATGTGGCCGTTCTTGATGGGCTCAACGGTACAAGTGATATTATTGAGCGGATTGCGAGGCTCTCGCCGAAAACAATTCTCAATTATATGCAGTCCGCCGAATTTAGCGACCGTCTTCTTCGAATTACCGAGGCTGTTCTTACTATTCGTAATATGGTCATGCTGGTGGAAAATGCTATTTACATGGCGGATGTGTATCCCCTAAAAGATTTGCTCTGTATTCTTCTACATCTTCCAAATCTAGAGATGCTTGTTGAAATCAAACATTTCGCTCTGGACATCGCCGAGCAGCTTACGCCTTGGCTCATACTTGATTCCGAAGATCCGTTGTACCGAACACTGTTGGCGCAACTGGACTCGACGGATCGTGGCACGATTTTGACATCCCTCCGCGCCATCAGCCGGATATCGATGAACTTAGAAGCTACGAATAAGATGCAGAATGTCCCCTCCGTGGTCCTGCAAAATATTATGAACTGGCTGTTGCTCAACGACGAGGAACTTATGGACGCATGCCTGGACTTCCTTTATCAGTATACAGCAGTGGTAGCTAATGTTGAGTCCTTGCTCAAGGCCGTGAACATGGAGCACGTTGTACCTCATCTGGTTAGGCTCCTAGCTCACGGAGCAAAACGAGTTAAGGAGGACAGAGTTCTTGAACCAGAACGAAAAGCGCCGGCTTCTGAAGAAGTAGCTACGCTGCCTCCGGATCTCCAAGAACGACTAACGAACACAGACGAGCCTCAGAGATGCTATAATTGGCTTCAGAGTCTATTCGAAGAGGACAGCGAGTCTCATATCACGCAGATCGCTATATGGCAAGCCTACCAGAATTCTTTTAGGGCGCTTGCGAGCAGCTCGAGAAATATGCTTAGTGCGGCTGATTTTATTAGGAATGTCAGCCATGTGTTTGTCAACGCTCGAGCACAGATTATCAGGCGGCAGCGGGCCGATCAATCGGACCTCTTTATAATTGAAGGTATCCGAGCACGAACGTTGCCCATTAATCCTGAGACGAAGGAGGAATACTGTCCATGTCGGTGGATGGTGGCTAAGGGCCCGTACCTCAAGAAGTGCAACCAGTTCTTCCTTGGTGGAGAGACGATGTGGCACCATGTCTTGACTACCCATCTAGGCGTTGTTATCGGTGAAGGGAGCAAGATCGAGGATAAAGAGATCAACGCATCTTGCGACTGGGAGGACTGCAAAAAGTATCAGAAACCTGCTCAAATTAAACTATCAGGACTTGCGCGCCATCTCAAGACTCATTTCCCTTCAGTACAGAAGCGTTCATTCGCCGAGGGTCCAGAGTCGGCCGCGAAACGGCAACGCAAGGCATATATCACCCCGGCGAAGACCATGAGCCTTGCCTGGGAACAGACCATTGTCACTAGGGATGAGCGGAACCCCAAGGTGGAGCAGGCCGCTGGTATCCCGCTCAGTGCCGTGTTAGTACTGCGCAACATCGCCCGTAACGTAGTCAAGACAGAGTCGGAGGAGCTGCTGCTCAAAAAGCACGAGATGGGCGGTGAAGGCGGTGGCTGGAATGAGAAGCTCTTCCGCCCCGTCATGGCTCGCTTGTTCGAGGTCATGACGGAAAATAAGGCTTTGGTAAGTTCTTTCTACTCATTACTTTGTTGCTACCCCCTTTTCTTCCTTCTCCACTCAACCTATTCAGTTACTTTTTTTGCTGTTGTTGCTTACTTTACTAACCCTTCACTTCGCTAGGCCGATTATATTACATCGCTTTTACAGTTAGTACAGGATGACTAGGCGAACCAAACAAAAAAAAGGGTTTAGGATTGCGGTTTAGTTTGACGAGCAAGTCAGCCTCCTTACGTGTAGGAATAATACCCAGGCGTTTCAGAGTCGGTCGGTTGGAAGGAAAGGCGTTGTAGAATTCGTTTGCGAGTTCTTGGCGCTTCCGGAAGCACAAGGTAAGGATGTATCAACAATTAGCATACTGAGGTATTCCTACGTGGTCATCAAATCACATCTAGAACATAATGAGCATTGCCTTATCAATTTTACGTCGCTTATACCCGCTAGATACTTTCAAAATATCGTAGTCCAATGATCCTCGTTTGTCATGCGAAATAACTTGTACTATTTTTATTTATACCTGCTTGCCCGATTTTGATTACAGTTTTACAGATAATTCAATCAGTCCCACTGAGCCCCTTCGACAGCACAGCTAGCCTGTCCATAGCCAACTCGGGAACCGCTGTGTATGCTATTTCGGGGAGACTTCTAATCTCGCCTTCCAGCCTGTCCCTCGCGCACAGCCTGGAGGATAAGTTCCTTGGCCTTCTCACAACCCTCCTTGGAACCCATGACCTCAATGGGTTCGTCTCTGGCTTGGTCACGTGGAACATTGATTTTACATCCACTTTGTTTACGAATTGAGTTGACCTTGGAGCCGCCCTGACCAATTACATGGCGATATGTGGACGGGTCTGGTAGAACAAGGAAGCCAATAGTGTTGTTCTTCTGGGCTTGTTCGAGCGCTGCCGTGATTGCTTTCTTCGCCTTTTCAATATTATCCGGGCTACCTCTTAATACCCACGGAATATCGCCATCTTCCGAGGAAGCGGTATCTATAACCGTCCAATGGTGCGCATCCGCGGCTGATTCTGCATCGTCTGTAATCAGGGGGAGAGAACCAATGTTTTCTCGCGTGGACGAGGGCTTAGGCTTTGGTGGCACAGCGTGACCGGCGTGGTCCACTGTAACCTTGTGGTCATTTCTAAGCTTACGGAAGAACTGTCCATTTTCTGAAATAGCATGATGATACTTCCGCGGGATCTGTATCGTCTCGCCTTGCTGCTCCTTGATGATCGACAATATGTGCTCTTTTGCCTTCTCGACGTTGGCAGGCTGGCCGATCAGCTTCACGCCGGTCAGACCACTCCCTTGCCGGGGAATATCAATAGAGACATTAAATTGCGACTCGAGCTGCCGTTTGGTCTCACCACCTCGCCCAATTAATGATCGATGTTTTTCAACGGGTACTTCAACCGTCTCGGTTATCTGACTCTCGCGTTCCGATACCAGAGCCTGAATGCTAGCAATGATCTTGTCAACAACATCTTGTCGCCCTTCAATCTT